TAACCGTACTAGTGGGCCTTGGCGCCCTAATTCCGTGAGGAATTAGAACAAAGCCGAAACTTCGGCACACGGGTGTACCAACTTCCCACCTGGAACTGTACTGTTAGCTACTGGCTGATTGGCAAAAAGTGAGTGGTTGAAAGAACATTTCGCTAGGTCATAGGCATCGAGATCAGCAGACTCCGACCATTTTCTACGCAATCGCGACAGTGGCGACGCACTGAAAGTTTAAAATCATTGTGAAAGGAGCTCTATGAAAAAACAAAAAAAAATACAAATCAGTCAGTGAAAATGAAAATAAGAGCAAGCAACCTATAAGGAGACACAGAAAAGAATTTGGGCTCATACAAACGGAAAATAAGAGCAAGCAACCTATAAGGAGACACAGAAAAGAATTTGGGCTCATACAAACGGATCCCTAGGAGGAAACGGCGGCATAGATCATTGTCGAGAGACTTCAGAACTAGGATACCAGACGCAGGCAAAAAGGAGAAAAGTGCATCCTATAGACCCTGAATCAAAACCTCCAGGAAACTTGAAAATGAGAAAAGGCGCTCCACTGGACATGCGTGCTTCTTACATGGCAGCAGATATAGCTGCTGCAGAATGACACCGAAGGAGAGCTGCCTCAAACAAAACCTGTAAATGGCACTTAATATAACGGGCAAGCTTACGAATCGATTATCGGAGGTACATTCAGCATCCTCAATCTGGCTTTGAAGAGCTTGCCATTACTCGATTATAGAACCTGCGGAGGCTTTTCCAGCCACCTTGCTTTCCGGGAAAAGAATGAAGTGAAGGTTAAGGCCTGCTTTTATCTCCTTATCCTTTTTCTTTTGCTTTGCAATGGAAAGTCGTTGGATCTAGCACTAATAGGGAAGCATAAAGCGAGATCACTTAGGGTACGTCTGCTCTTTAAACTTATCGAACGAAGCATTTTCAAATGATAACCATGACTAGGGATCATTCTGTAATCCCTGAAAGACGCGTGCCTTGTATAAACGAATTAGTATTCTTTAGTCGCTAATCAGCACATTGCGGAAGATCAGAGACGAAACTGAGAAAGCTTTATTCACTACACTGCCTATTTGAGGCAATAAGTTCAGACAAGGGCGATAAGTTAGCCCCAAGTATTTGGCAGAGCAGCAGTGGGCCAGTTTTATGCCACCATTTCCATAATCCAGACGAGCTTTAGGAGATATGTAACACCGAACACTACATCTATCGCTGAGGTAAGATCGGAACCAGCTTAGCAGCTGCCCACCGATGCCGAGATTATGTACTCTTGACAGAAGCATGGGATGGCTGACCTTGTCAAAGGCTTGAGGAAGATTGATGAACACCATATGCACTGCTTGCTCATTATTTAAGGCAACAAACCAATTGGAGAAGGTGCCGAAGAGATTAGAAGCTCAAGAAGCACCTTTTAAGAACCCATGCTGCTCTTTAGGAGCCTCCTTGAAGCTGTTAAGCTAAGCCGATGTCTTGTTTCTAATAAAGGTCTCCAAGACCTTGGCAGCATTATTCGGGGGATGCCATACGGTTCATCCAAGGACGGCTTGAGCTTAGTAAGTATTTTGAAATTATCCGGAGGACGAAAGGTAATCAGAGACATGCTATGGTTAACCCCGTGCTAGCCCAAACCACAACATCCTTATGAAGAGAGACCCGAAGCATTCCGAGAGCATAGGCAGCTTTGGAGATAATTTAACTCTTTGTTTGATTAGGCGGAAAAGATGCATAGGATCAGTGTTGGCCAGCCATCATCTCAATTTGTCGATAGTCCCCCCACATCACACACCAGATTATCCACAAAGATTATCCAAGAATTCATACAGGCCCTCTGACCTTTCTTTCGTTCATCGTTGTCATCCCTTATCATTGCTACCAGGATCTTACACAGCTCAGCCTCTCATTCGATTAAAGCGGTCCTTCTATAATACAGTGCGTTTCATAATTATAAGGTCACCCTCAATTTTTGCACTTTCAAAAAAAGTAATCATTAAGGATTTTTTCTAGCATCAGGAACGGATTCCCCAGCACGAACAACGTAGGTATCCGTTTTTTAGTAGCAGCTGCATTTTCCTGAACTTTTTTAGAACAGTTTATCGGTTTTTGCACCGCTTCATAATTGTAAGGTCACCCTGAGAAAGTGAACAATTATTCATGGAGGAGAGGAAATTTCGTGTTCGAAGATACTTATAAAGGTGAGCATGTGTAGCAAATGCATTTCTAAACCTGACTGTCAACATGGCTCGTGGTCATCTGCTTTCCTCTGATGAGAAGGCTCATCATGAAGGTGGGCTCAGTACTCCAGCCATCTTCAG